TCCCCGCCCTGCCCTCCCCTGCCCCGCCTTCCTGTGGAGCAGCCGAGCCTGAGGGGGCCCGGCCTGCCTGCTCGAAGGACGCGAGCCGGAAGGGCCGGAGGGCGCCAGCGCGCCCAGAGAGACCCCCATGTTCTCCACAACCACCCAGGAGGGCTGGACGGGGCCGCAGAGACCCGGGACGCAGCCGAACCTGCGAGGACTCGAGGGTCCGACTCTGTTGAGAGAGGCGCCCACTGCGTGCGGCCACGCCACGCCCCTCCCAGGCTCGCCACGCCCGCGCCACGCCCCTCCCTGGACTCGCCCCGCCCCGGTCCCGCCCACCAAACTGCCACGCCCTGTCACGCCCAACCCTCTACCCAGCCCCCGGGGTTCCTTGAAGCTGGTGCTGCCCCCATCAGACAGGACCCGAGACCTCCGGGGAACAGAAAGATGAGGCCATCTAGGCGTGGCACTGAGCAGAATCATCAACAATGTATTCCCAGGCTTTTTAGAATGTTTCTATTTAAAGTATCAGTTTAAATGGTAAAAGCGATGGATGCTTGTTGTGTAAAATCTGCAAGCAATTCAGAAATGACACAGCGGACAAGCACTTCACAAATTAGAAGTAGTGATTTCTCACCTTGCCACTTTTTAGTAGAGAGAAGAAAAATGTTAGAGCCCTTATTACCATCTCACATGTTCAGAAAGCATAGGGATTATTTATTAAACGTCAGTAAACTACCACATGGTGTTAGATTAAAAACTGCATCAATCATCGTCAGAATTGGGCTTCCAGTTAAATTTAACAAGCACTCATTGGGAACCTCCTATCACATGGCAAAGCGCACGGGGTAGGTTTGCATGCTGACTCTGCTGCTTACCAGCTGTGGGACTTCAGGTGAATTACTTAAACCTCTCTGAGCTTCATTCTCTTCAGCTAAGAAAATGGGGATATTATCTACCAGGTAGTGTGATTTTCAGAATAAAATGACCACAAGAAAAACACACTCCAGCTAACAATTTGTGCACATATACTTTAATATTCAGGCTTGAGTGAAATCATCTTAAATGACAGACATTACAATATGTTTGAGAAGATAACCCAACACTCGCACAATCCACTACAAAATTTTAACATCTAAGTAATATAATTGTGTTTTAGGGTCTGAAATTTCTCCTTAAGCTGAACTTTTATCAACCAGGCAGGTATATTTAAGTTTTTAAATTTTAAAACGTTGATGTTTTTTAAAAGGCACATTGAGGTTCTCTTACTATCAAAGATATAACATTTACTTTATATTCTATGACCAGAACCTTTTTGGCAAGTGACTTTCACATGGATTCCAGGTTCTCTACACGCCTTTACACAACGTACGTTTGGTAGCTCTTAACTCGTACACCTGAATACTCTGGACAATTGTCGTGCACTCTGGGCTGGGGCCAAGAGCATAGCAGCCAAGGCCCACACAGGCTTGCTGACCTAACTGGACAGTCAAACAGCAGGAAATGCAACCAGGCTTCTCTCTCTCTTGCATGCCAATGTAGTGCACAGAGCTAATAGCCAAAGGTCGTTCATTGTAATCACATTTTAAATCAAAATTCAGTGTTTTTAGATCTAAAAGTACCAAAGAAAGCCATCTCTCTTCTTGGAATTTTAAAAACACAGAAGTTGCAATTATAACAAATTGTTTAAAAGGCAAAATGCATCCTTGTGGATTGATTTGACAAATGTCAATGAACATTCAGATTTAGAGTTAATTCATTGATGACAGCTATCACAAAAGAGATCACACTGGTTTCAATGGTATCATAACTGAACTTCACAAGTTGGAGGCCTTGTCCATCTTGGCTGGGTTTTCAGACCTCAGTGCTAGCACCTGCTGTCAGACAGACTACCATTCAGCACCTAATTCATCAGCACCTTGCTGGGAGTTTTAAGTCATTGTGGAACTCTGCAGGGGACAATGGCCTTGCCTTCTTGGTTGGAGATTTTAAAAAAAAGGAAAGAAAGGCATTTAACATTTTAAAACTGGGAAACAAGTCCAGACAATGTTAGAAACTCTCCTATCCAAAGGCACAAAGAATAAACTTGGCAGGTAGCTGATAAAACCAGGCATATATAAGTACAACTTAAAACAATTAAAGAGTATAAATATCTGTGAATTATTTTTCCTCCAGTGCTCTGGCTGTTGCTGAAAACACCTTCTAGTTCCACTTGGTAACTTGACTTCTGAAAGATGACTGCTGGAATCTTCTGATACTCAAGAAGACATAAAAAGAGTCACCTTAATCATCAAAAGGTAATTGTAAAGGGCATTGTTGCCTGAAATTCTATAGAGTTGCCTGAATATTGAAGTAACTTAAAGCAGAATTTCTGAAAATGGTCAGGTAGTTTCAAACCTAAACAGAATGGCCTGATAATGTGCAGATACATAATTAGCAAACATGTACAAGAGAAACAGATGAAGCAAGAAGAGAGACTGCAGAGAAGGGGCTGATTTGCTAGTTTAAACTTTTAAAGCTTTTTCCTCTTTCTCAGCTGTTGATGTAGGAGACTCGCAGCCTAACCAGGGCAGCCTGAACTCTCAAGAATGGTTGTGTGATGACTGATGAGGCATACATTTCTTGCCTATTAATAGTTTCCCACTGTTAGAAGTCTACAGACATTGGCAAGCTAACATGGTCTCAGGTTTTCCTTGTCCCAGCGCAGGAACGCCTCAAGGGATCATGATGGGGGTCATACCATATATTCTGTTTACAGTGGACACAAACACAAGACTGACTTTTTTAAAGCTTATTAAGTGCAGAATGTTCCTGAGAAGGCCTCTCCTAAGGGTTAAAGGTCCCAGCATCACAATGATAGTAACTACGTTTACAGAGACTCAATCAGGACACATGCAAAAACCACAGGCCTTCCTAGCAGGAGGATGCTGGCCTTTCCAAAACACCCCTGCCTGGGCCCTCTCCAGAAGGGCCAACACTCCCACGCATCTACGCACCCAGCACCCTCCCCCAGCACGTTAAACAACTCGGCCTTCTGGCCACCTGAGGCTACTTTTTAGATCAAGTGACACAGACGTTTCAAGTAGAAGACAGGATGGGCCACTGCCAGGGGACCTTGCAGCGGGAAGTGAGGTCAGAGCCGTAGGGGTGGGGTGGAGTGGGGCGCGGGGAAGAGCTGCCACCCAGATGTGAGAGCCCAGGTAGGAAGTGCGTGCAGGTGCGGCTGAGGAGTAGAAGCGCCAGGTTCCCTCCGAAGAGGCCTCAGATGAAGTGGATCCAGCTCTCTTCGCACTCGCCACGTGGCATGTGCAGCGCGTGGCTGCGGCACGTGAGGCTGTAGTCGCGGCCGTCGTTGTTGTCCCAGTACTCGGTGCCGGCCACTCGGTAGCGCAGCGCGAAGTGCACGCGGGAGCCGAGCTCCAGCAGGAAGGGAGGCACTGGGAAGCCAAAGGCGAACACGTCCTCGGTACCCTCGGTGCCCGCCGGCCCGCGCCACCGCGCCACCGCCTCGTGTGTGCTGCGCCAGTCCGAGAAGGTGTAGCGCACTGCCACGTGCTTCTCGAAGGCCACGTTGCGCACGCGCACGGTACCGCTGATGCCCAGGTCCGAGCAGGTGACGCGCTCCAGGCACACAAGCTGCCGCCCCAGGCGCTCGCCGAAGTCGGGGGCCTCCACAGGCGGCAGGAAGTCGGGCACGAGGCACTGCAGGTTGAACTCCAGGTCCTGGCTGCTGCAGCACAGGTCCGAGTTGATGGCGAGCCGCGATAGCACATGCAGCGGCACCGACGGGTCGTCGCCCGCGTTGAACACCTTGACCTGCGTCAGCTCCAGGCCCAGCGCGTCGGCGAAGCGCACGCGGTGCGGCCGGCTGCAGCCCGGCCCGCAC